AATATATATTATATATATATGTAATATATATAGTGAAATGATTACCACAATCAGGTTAGTTAGCACATCCATCCCTCACCTAGTTACCCCATTTTTATTTTATTTTGTTTTGGTTTGTGGTGAGCACATTTGAGCAAACGTCAACAGTTGCTTCTTGAACACAGCAGGTGGATAAAGCTGATTGCTCAACATGCAATTCCTTTGTGGCTATGTTTCTCCCAGGCATTCACAAGTGTTTCTAGCATATACTATAGACTCATCAGGCTGGAAGAAGCAATTTAATCATTCTCTCTTCACATCTGAACTGTGGGAGATAGATGAAGCTCTGTCCTGTTTTTAAATAGCCCTGGATAAAAGGCCACTCTCTTCCTAGACAGTGATTCCAATGTCTTACAACTCCGCCATTCTTCCTAACCTCTAAAGCAGATCTCCCCACCAGGAGACCTCCTTTCTTTTTCCTCTCTGCAAAGGGTGGCCCTCCCGATCTCTGTATGTATGGGAAATCAGTGGATATCACTAAATTTCTCCCAGCCTTTTCTCCAACCCACTAATAACTCAAGTATCTTTCGTCTTCTTTTCCCTTTGGTGATAAACAATAGGAACTGATAGGAGGACCACAAGAATATCAGCAATAGTTTCAGTAACACTGTAATTTTCCAGGTATTGGTTGTAATCACGTGTCCCTAGTTACGGGCTATGTCAAGCATAGATTTTAGCTGACCCTTGAAAAAGTGGGTCTGATGAGTGAGCCTCTGAGAGCAATTTAAATACACTGTACAAACTGCCCTGCTTTATAGGGAGTAAATACCATCTGCTGAGTTTTTTTTTTTTTCTTCCTATTTGTAGCAGAGGACCCACCAATGTTGTGTTTATTTGTTTTACTTTCCAACTTAAACAACATCGTAATTGTTGAAATGTTTTGAATTAAGTGATATGCTCTTTGCTGTTTTTCTTTTTTTCTTAATCTTGGAACAGGCCTTGTGGGTTTAATATGTTTTAAGATATTCTCATGGAGTATAGCACATTAACAAAAATAAAACCTGTAAAAAAACCCAGAATCTTAAAAGCAGAAAATCATCACTTCTAGGGATGGAACATGTTATTATGCATCAATTTTTTTTTTTTAAGAACCTGGAGACAAAAGATTCTGCTCTGTCAGTTTCTATCTAACTAAGTCATTAATAGCGTTTCTGTCTTGCAATATAAAGCCGTGAGTGAGTGCCATCTCAGAAATGAAAAGAAAGCAGACAAAGGCATGTCTATAATAGAGTAAATGACTCTTAAAAATTGCCTCTACACCAAGGAATCAAAAATTGTTAGTGAAATACACAGCCCTTGAAGGAAGCTTCATTAAAGTATATAAGATGAGGTTATAGAAACTGGCATTATTTAGTTGGAAGAAAGAACGTAATACTTTTTTAGTCCATGAGCAGATTTTACTTTGATCAAGAAGACGCCTGCAGCTTCTTGCTCAAAGCTATCCTGCACTCGGCTTTGTTATGACACCAGGAGGGTAATGGAACTTAAAAAAAAAAAAAAAATCAAAA